CCCTCGTCGACATCGCACCGCTTGAGGAAGCGGTTGCCTCCCAGCCGCTCCAGGTGCTGGTCAAACTGGCGGCCGACCTGCGGGGCGCAGGTGGCCGGGTGAGGGCGAGGGCCGAGCGTCCGCCCCTCGCAGGACTGCAATCTCGAGTCGGGTCCTCTCGGAGGCCGCGCCTCGCAGAACTGCTCGTAGTTTGAGTCGCCGAGCGCGCACACCGCAAACGGGACGCCCTTGAAGACGGGCGGCGTGCTCCGCTTCTTGGCAAAGCGGTAAAACTTGTCGGCGTTGTCTGGCGCGTCGCCGTTGCCCGTGGACGAGCTGACGAGCACGAGCGGCGTCTTGTCCTGCTCAAAGTCGAGCTCCTTCCACTTCTCCATGCCCAGCACGCGCGCCTCAAAGCCGTGCGCCGCCGCCTCGGCGCCGAGCTCCTTGGCGACGCCGCGGCTGTTGCCGGTCTGCGTGCCGTACAGGATGAGAAGCTTCTGCATCACAGGCTTTTGCTGTGTCACCAGCTCGGGCACGGCCGCGGCAGGCGGCGGAGCAGGCGCAGCCACCGGCGCGGCGGCGGGCGGCGGCGCGGAAGCGGCGACGGACGCCGTGGCTACTGAAGCCAAGGCTGAATCCGCCTTGGCGAGGAGTGCAGCGAGAGCTGCGTCGTCCATGCCTCAGAGGACTCCGTGCCGGAGTGGAATAGTGGCGATCTCTCGGCGACCACACATGTCTGAATGTCTCTCGAGGTCTCGAGGTGCACAAGCTCTTTTCCGAGCCCCCCCCCCCCCCCCCGGCGTAAAAAAGTCCGATCGAGCCATCCCGCTTGCCGGCGCCCCGCTATCGAGCTCCGTCCCGCCCCAGACCGCTAAAAACAAAGCGAACGCGCTTCGGACGTGCTCGCCGCTGCCGCGATGCGCGCACCGACGGCGCAGCGCACGCTCCGGCCGAGGTCGGCTCCGGCCGCCGCCGCGCCGGCCTCGGGTTCCCCTGCTGCTCGGCGCGCTCCTCTGCCCAGACCCACTGGCAGGCTCCTCATCGTCCACGCGAACGGGAAGGAGTACGGCCGGGGCGCCGGCGGGTCAAAGGCATCGAACAGGGAGTTCCCATTCGCGGCGGCCGACTATGTCGCCATGCGAGACAGCGGCGTGCCGTACTCTGGCGACCCGCGCAAAAACAAGCTGATACCGCTCCCGCGGCCCACCTACACCGAGTTCATCAACAGGGCCCGAGCAGCGCGCATGCTGGACCGGCTCGACTTCCTCTACGTGCCTGCGGAGGCGCCGCAGCCCCCGCCCTGGCGCAGCTTCGAGCCGTACGAGCGCGTCGTCTGGTGCGGCGTCTCGTTCCGCCGCTTTGCGCGGCTCTGGACGCCCGATGTTTGTGAGTGTTCCGACGGGCGTTGATCGAATCCCTTGTGCGACAAATCACGACTCCCACCGAGCCGCGCCGCGCTGCGCGCGCGCGCGCGCGCGGCTCACTCCACACTCGCTACCACCGACACCCGTGCGTGTCACACTACAGACAGCCCGCACTCTCGGTGCCGGGAGAGAGAGGGCCGCGACGAGCAAAGATCGGAAAGAAAAGAAACATGGCGCCCGCTCAGGCCTGAGGCGCCCACTCAGTGCACTTCCCCGAGGCGGCACACACCGACACGGACCACTTCTTCCAGCCGTCCTTCCAGGCGCGCGTCTTTGCGGTGCTCTGCTGTGCGCTCCGGCAGCGCACCACCCTCCCCTCCAGCACGGCCGCCCTCGCCTCGCTGCCGACCGACCTGCTGCACGTGATCCTCGCCGCCTCGGCCGGCGAAGGCGACTCGCGCCGTGACGGGTACGACGACATGGCGGCGGTCGAGAGCGGCTGCCAGCACCTGTTCCTGCCAGCGCCCGGCTCCGCGGGGGTACGCGAGGCGCTCTTCGACGGCGTCTTTGGGCTTTGACCTGCTCCTGTGTCATGAGTCACACTTGTGTGAGCCGCGCAGCACAGACGTCAGCGCGCTCACCGCTCTAGCTGGCCACCGACGGCTCTTAGTCTTACGTCTTAGACTTAGGCATTCACAATCCGCACTGTGTGGGCCGTGTTCTTGATTACGTACTGAGATTCAGTAATCAGCGTACTGTGAGAGAAAACGCGGTGAACTGGACTACTCTCACATTGGGCTTTTGGCACTGAAGAGCGACCAAGAGAAATACCTCGCGCTTAGCAAGATAGTCGAGCGAGCAAAAAGTCGCCGCACCTGCTCGGCCTTGAGTCGCAGCTTGCCGCCGCCGTGGCGGGCAGGATGCCGGCCGGCCGTTCCCGCTGTCGGGCGCATCCGGCGAGACTCGCCTCACCCCCGCCGCGCCGGCGAGCTGCGAGGGCACCATCCCAACGGCTGCCGTCCCTCGGCTGGCGGCGTGAGAGGCCTCGGGAGGGCTCGCCGAGGGCCGGCGCACGCGATGCAGGCACTACCAAGGTCCTGGCGACCGCTCCGCGACCATCTCATCACATGAGACGACTGCTGTAGGACGCTCGCGGGCCAGAACTCGACGAGACCGCCACACCAAGACTAACTGCGCTTCGGCGCCCGATCTGGATTTTGGCCTCCCGACGCGATTTCCGACCCCCGACGCGAAGATATCGTCCCGACTCTCACTACTCGCCCCTCCATCCTGTAGGTCCGGACCTTGCCTGCTCAGTAGCCGCGATGAATCGTCGCCCTCATCGTCCGCGGTCACCCTTTCAGCCTCGGGCTGGCTTTTTGAGACCCTCGCGTTTGCCCATCTCGGCCGTTTACGACGCGTCACGCCTTCCCTCGTGCCGCAAGTAGGCGTGTGCGTCATGACTCCGGTGCCAGCTACACGGCCACGCCGCGGGACAACGTGCCGGGACGGATCCATCCGACCCACGGGTGCCCAAGCCGCCTCGCGCGCCTCAGCCCGCCGGGCCCCTCGGCGGCCAGTGTGGGGTGGATACGGCGGTGATAAACCCCTCTGACAGCAGCGCCTCACGGCGTGGGTTGCGAGGTCACTCGGGGTGACCCAGGGGGCGGCGGGGGAGCAATCTCCCGCCGGAGCAGCGGGTGATATTCCCGCTACTCGCTCGAGTTTGAGGTGCGCCGCACCTCGCCTGTGTTGCCTTCCCGGCCGCCCCAGCCGCCCTCACCGTTCCTCATCCCCTCCCCCACCCCCTCCCCCTCAGGCTAGGCCCTCGCCGCCGCCGCCGCCGCCGTCTCCGCCAGAGCCGCCGCCGTTTCCTCCCCCCCCACCCCCTCCGACGCCGTCGCTTCCGCTGCTCCCGCCACCACCGCCGGCCGCCTCAGCTCTCCCTCGCCCACCTCCCACACACCCCCACCGCCCTCCGCGCGTCCCCGCACGCCGCCTCCGCGCCCCCACGCCCCCATGAGGACCTCCCGCCCCGCCCTCCCCGCGTCTCAGACCCTTGGCCGTGCTCCGCTCGGGGAAACTCGGCGCCGCCGTCGCGAGCACTGCTGCCAGCGCAGCGGAGGGGCGACGCGACAGCGGCTAGCGGCCGTGAGAGCCTCTCCAGTGCGGGCTGGGGGCGGCGGCGGCGCACGGCGGGTGGCGGGCGAGCAGCCGGCCGGCCGGCGGCGCGTCTCGACTCGATTTATGGGCCGCCTCTCGGGCGTGCGGCCACGGCCCGTGCGGCGCGAGGAGAGGGCGGCGCGCTCGGCGCGCTGGCGGCGGTGAAGCCTCCCAGAGTGGGCGCTGGCTGGCCGAGGGCGTCGGGCGGGTGCGGGGCGGCACTCAGGCCGCCGGAACGGGCCGTGGTGGCCCGTGTGGCGTTCGTGAGGGACCGTTTGTGCGCCCCGGTAGCCACCCGGCCGGCGGCCACCGGGGCCGGAATTGGCAGCGGCTTGGGCTGTGTGTGGGCTGGTCGCGGTGGGGGATATGGTGCTTGTTTATGGTCCTCATTTCCCCCACTCACCACTCCCAACCGGCAGGGCCTCACGGGGCAATTTTGAAGGCCTCTGCCATCGCTCAGGTCCCAAACCATGTGCTCGTCCGCGCAGGGAGGGCTCGGTCGCGCCCCCCAGACGTGTGAGGTGTTCGGAGGCTTCGGACTGAGCGACGCGGGCAGGACCCTTTGAAATCATAAACTGCGACGTCCGTGAGGCCCCTACGGCCGGTGGCAGTGAGTGGGTGATTGGAGGGCCATAACCTACCATCACGCCGCCCATCGGACCCCTCCTCCACCCCAAACACAGTCCAAACCGGGGCCCCGGCGGCGGCCGGCGCGGCGGCGGCGACGCACGCCGGCGAAGCACCATCAAGCTGCTGTACGGCCCCGGCATCGCCTCCCCTGGCTTAGCTCTCAGTCAAGATATTGTGAACACAGTCAGTCTCTACAATATACTCACTGACACTGAACCTCCCAGAGCTCGTCCCGGTCCATTACGGCCATCCTCGTCCTCAGGCGCCGGGCTCCGCCGGCCAGTCGCCCGCCAGATCCGGCTTCGTCGGGAGGGCGTCGTCGCGGAGCACCATCGCCGCTGTCGGCGCTCCTGCGGCGGTCCGGGGGCACGTCTGGGTGGCCAGGGGCGGGGGTCGAGCCGTGAGTGCTCCGCCGGGGCGAGCTTCTGGGTCCATGGCACCGCTGCCGGACCCGTCCGAGAGCCTTTCCGGACACGTTCGCTCGATGGCCTAGCTGGCGGCCGATATTCGACAACCAAAGCTCCGGACGCCGCGGCCAAAGATCCGCGCACAGTCCCAGGGCTCGTGGTGAGTGTGGGGTGTGCCTCACGAGGCGGAGAGGCCGCGTGAACTCCCGTAGAAGCTCGCGAAGTGCGGATTTGGAGCGCCGCGCCGGACCTCCGCCGGGGCCCGCCGGGGCCACGGGAGAGGTCAGAAATCGTTTTGGGGGGTAGACTACTACAAACCGGTCACGGTCCCGTCCAGTTCAGTCCCTTGGCCGGCCCTGGGCCGCTCGGCACCGCGCGGGGGTGCCGTTAAGCGACCCTACGGATTTTCAGTGGTCGATTTTGGCCAAAAAGCCCAATGTGCGAGACGTCTGTGTGTGCGACGTGGCACGTGTACGACTTGCGACGATTGAAAAATAGATTGATGATGGCACACGCTAGGGTCTCCCTCGCGCTACGACCGAAAATGCGAGATATCTCAATGACAGCGCCTCCGCTCAGCCGTGAGAGCCTCAGGCGCTCAACCTCAAGACCCAGCCTGTTGGGCACCGTGGTGCTGCGGTGTGCAGATGTGCAGTCATGCGTCTCTGCTCGTCTGTTGAGAGTGCGGCGATGGACGACGGAGGAGAGGCCGGAGCTCACAGGACAAGAACGTCCATGTCGTTGAGAAGCGAGCTCTTCTCGAACTTCTCGCCCCCCTTTGCCTGCCTCTTTGCCCACGCCCCGCCCCGCGCGCTGCGCGGGAGCCTCCTGCTGCTCCGGCCGCCGCTCGCAGAGAGCACCGCGCCGCCCGCGCCGGCGTCAAAGGCGGACTCGAAGTCGGCGCTCTCGGCCGAGCAGTCCGAGAGGTTGTTCGGGTCC